CATTCAGGCCTTGATTCAAAAGGAGCCATTGAAAACTAGGTTTATCATAATTCTATATTGGTTTGTTGTTAAGCACAAAGCGACATAAAGGGTCATGTGTTCTATATCAATCGCAATGATCGAACTCCGAATCCTAGATTTATAAACGTTCAAGTTCATCTTTTGGGCCACCGGAGAACCGGATTTTTATGACTCAAGCTCTCAACTAAGTTATTGCTTCAATTAGTTAATAAAAAGCATTATTTTGTTTTATGTGAAATCTTATTCGAGCTTAAATAATAGGTACAACGAAAACAGGTTAACCAGATTTGTTTTGTTTTGTCTTAATGGTATCAGAGTTAGTTATACTAGGTTCATGATATTAGGATTATAACATTGAGGTCATAATTTCAAGTTTATAATGTTAAGTTAATAATATCTTATTCTTTACATAATATAATATCATGTCAGCTGGTTCAACTTTGTCATTTTTTTCTTCTTTGAATTTCAACTAATTCAATTGAATTACTAACTTAAATAATTATAACCCTTATATCTTACTGTTTGTTATAAATACTTAATATAATGCTAAATTATTACTTTTTTTGTCTATATCATCTCCGAAATTTTGATTTTACTCATTAAGGTATACTAAGAAGATAGAGATTGTTTTATTGACAAATAAACTTGTGATCTTATTTTCATAATCTACTAAAGTCGCCAAAAGTGTCTAATGCTCACGTATGTCAAATTTCAGCTTCCAAAAAATCTCTTCTTCCATCTGCTTCAGAAGATACTCTCGTCGACAGTGATCCAGTAGCCCTACAACCAATAGTAACTAGCCTATCACAGCAAAGCTCTTCACGTGGTTTGCCCAGTGATCAAAATAACTTTCGGAACCTTGGCTATTGTCAAAGCTCGCTAGAAGAAGGACGTTTATATCCAGCTATGACGACCATGAAGTCCTCTCATCTCACATCTGAAGATGTGAGGTTATCTGATGTCACGGTGTTTAAAGGTCCAGTGAAGACGCTTGAAGAAAATGCGATAGCTAGTCACGTGACATTGATAAAAGATCTCACTCGTGATGCAAGCGATGGATTTTCTGGAATCTCACTTTCTAAAGGAATGAAGAAATCACTAGATGGACGAGTTCCGCCGGATATGGTTGTACTAAAAGAGGTGCAAAGGGTCATGGGGGAAGGAAACATGGCGATGGTCAAGAGTGACCCTGAAATAGTTCAGCCTGGATTTTTTTACCCAGCATACCCCTCTGTTTTTGACAACGGAGCATTCTATCCTTATTCATCTGTTATGACGCATGAAAACGTACCACCAGGAACCTGGAAAGATTCATCTTTGCAATGCAGGCAGTAACTTAAGAAACCACCGTTCTTCTAGCAAAATAAAGTTTTTTAACATATACAGACGTAAAAAAATGTTCTCTATTCAGTGCTAAAGATATAAAATAGTTATTTTTCTTACGTTAAATAATACATAAGCGACTTTGAGAATACATTAATTATAAGGAACAATGATGATGACTTTTACTATCAGTTTTCTTCAGTAAGGCAACAACGTCTTACTTGTATTTCTAAAATTGAAAGACAAAATGAACCTAAAAAACGATATGTTTCCATATTCTTCCAGAAGGCCATCAAAGTACGAAGAATACACAAACTATTATATAGATTGAAAAACTAAACTTTAGGTGAAACTTAGTTGAATGGATGACAACTGCTTATTGTAGAAACACAAGTATAGAGGACAACGTTTCTAAAACAGTCAGTTGCTGTCCATTCAACTAAGTTTCATCATAAATACTCTACCTAAATAATCTATCAAAGAAAGACTTTAGGTGAGCATGTGTTGAAATATTTCCTCATGCCCTTCAAGAAGGCCATCAACGTACGAAGAATACACAAACTAACATATAAAATATAAAAACAAGACTTTATGTGAGTACTGTGTGGAAATATTTCTTCATGCCTTTCCAGAATGCCATTAAAGTACGAAAAATACAAACTAGCAAACAGAATGTAAAAACCAGACTTTGTGTAAGTACTGTGTTGAACAGTTTTCTCCTGCCCTTCCATAAGACCACCAAAATACGAACAATACAAACTAACAAAGAGAATGTAAAAACCAGACTTTGTGTAAGTACTATGTTGAAAAGAGAATGTAAAAACCAGACTTTGTGTAAGTACTGTGTTGAAAAGAGAATGCAAAAACCAGACTTTGTGTAAGTACTGTGTTGAACAGTTTTCTCCTGCCCTTTCAAAAGACCATCAAAGTACGAAGAATGCAAACTAACAAAGAGAATGTAAAAAACAGACTTTGTGCAAGTACTGTGTTGAAAAGAGAATGTAAAAACCAGACTTTGTGTAAGCACTGTGTTGAACATTTTCCACCTGTCCTTACAGAAGACCACCAAAGTACGAAGAATACAAACTAACAAAGAGAATGTAAAAAAACAGACGTTTATGCAAGTACTGTGTTGAAAAGAGAATGTAAAAACCAGACTTTGTGTAAGTACTCTGTTGAATAGTTTCTCCTACCCTTTCAGAAGACCACCAAAGTACGAAGAATACAAACTAACAAAGAGAATGTAAAAACCAGACTTTGTGTAAGTACTGTGTTGAAAAGAGAATGTAAAAAACAGACTTTATGCAAGTTCTGTGTTGAAAAGAGAATGTAAAAATCAGACTTTGTGTAAGTACTGTGTTGAAAAGAGAATGTAAAAACCAGACTTTGTGTAAGTACTGTGTTGAAAAAAGAATGTAAAAACCAGACTTTGTGCAAGTACTGTGTTGAAAAAAGAATATAAAAACCAGACTTTGTGTAAGTACTCTGTTGAATAGTTTTCTCCTGCCCTTTCAGAAGACCACCAAAGTAAGAATAATACAAACTAACAAAGAGAAGGTAAAAACCAGATTTGTGTAAGTACTGTGTAGAACAGTTTCTCATGTTCTTCCAAAAGACCACCAAAGTACGAAGAATACAAACTAACAAAGAGAATGTAAGAACCAGATTTTGTGTAAGTACTGTGTTGAAAAGAGAATGTAAAAAACAGACTTTATGCAAGTACTGTGTTGAAAAGAGAATGTAAAAATCAGACTTTGTGTAAGTACTGTGTTGAAAAGAGTTTTGGTGGTCTTCTGGAAGGGCAGGAGAAAACTGTTCAGCACAGTACTTACACAAAGTCTGGTTTTTACATTGTACGAATAATACAAACTAACAAAGAGAATGTAAAAGCCAGACTTTGTGTAAGTACTGTGTTGAAACGAGAATGTAAAAACCAGACTTTGTGTAAGTACTGTGTTGAAAAGAGAATATAAAAACCAGACTTTGTGTAAGTACTGTGTTGAAAAGAGAATGTAAAAAACCAGACTTTGTGTAAGTACTGTGTTGAAAAGAGAATATAAAAACCAGACTTTGTGTAAGTACTGTGTTGAAAAGAGAATGTAAAAAACCAGACTTTGTGTAAGTACTGTGTTGATCAGTTTTCTCCTGCCCTTCCAGAAGACCATCAAAGTACGAACTTTTGTACTTATGTATTTACCATTGAAATAAGCTGCGTTCCTAGATATATAAGAAGAAAAAATCAATAGAGAAATATAAAAGTTGATATTAACTCCGAACGTCGACAGTTTTTTTTTCCTTTTAATAAGCTCCCCAGTCGCATAGCGGTATGTCTGCGGACTTATAACGCTAGAAACCGGGTTTCGATACTCGTGGTGGGCAAAGCACAGATAGCCCATCGTGTAGCTTTGTGCATATATTCCAACAAACAAACAAACCTTTTAATAATGTATGTTCTTCCTTGTTAATTTGTGCTTGTGAGAGCCATCACATTTAACGCTCGAAAGTTTCTAACCAGATTAGTTACTTTTTTTAAGAGTAGTGATTATATGACCCCATGTTAGCAAATAAAATCCAACTTATTATCCTATACTTCAAAACAATCTGGATGATTTGATATGAGAATAAAATTACTTTTCAAGTTGTTCATTAATAAATTTCAGCACACACTTAAAACAAAATTGAGAATTTTCTCTCTAAATATAGCAAAAACAACATTTTAAAAATGATAATAAAATAAATTAGCATATACATTTATTGATATTATGTGGCAATATTTCAGAATTTTCTTCTATCTCTGTCCAACTCATGGCTTCTAATAAATGTTCAAAACAAACAACAGTGTTTTATAAAAATTAAACCAACCATATGTCTTCAGGAACATCCATTAGCAGTTCACAAAAGCGAAACCAATTACAGATCTCTTAATCACAATTGTGTAAGAACACCCATCTGTAATTAATGGAAACGAAACCAGCTAGAAATCTGTTAGAATATCCGTCTGTAACTCATAAAATGGAAATCAATTACAAACACCTATTTGTAGTTCATAAAAGCAAAACAATTGCAGGTCGTTCAAAATACACGTTTGTAGTTCATAATAATTAATTGAACTACAGGCCTGTAAACATATTCCTCAATAGTTCATAAGAACGAAAGAAACTGCAAAACCGCAAGAACATTTATATGTAGATTTAAAATGAAATCAACTACAAATCTATAAAATCATTCATCAGTAATTTTTAGGAACAAAACCAACTACAAGGCTGTAAGAACACCAGTAGTTCATAAAAATTAAATCAATTACGAGTGTAAGACAATTATATAAGAAGGAAATCTACAGATTGAATTACGGTTTTCTATTACAGTATGGTTTGTTAAATTCGATCCTTTTATATGTCCATATAACGCATGTTATTTTTTGTGCTATTTCATTCGAGTGCTTAAAGATCAACATGTATTTGAAATTTTTCATAAGAAATTTTGTAAACCTTACCAAAGCAACTTTCCGGGATATTACCTTTTCACTCTAGACAAAAGATATGGTTTTAATCAATCTTTTAAACTCTAAACTACTATATATAAATATATACATGAGGTGGGTATTTCTTGTTAAAGGACACAACGTAGTTGCAAAAATATTTCAAAAAGATTACAAGTGGCTGAGTTAATAAAATTAACGATCGAACGAAGTAGAGTATACTCCTTGTATATAACATTTAACTGTTATAACATTTATGAGAAGTAAGACTATTTGGTTATTTTGAATTTTGCGCAAAGCTACACAAGGGTTATCTGCGCTAGCCGTCCCTAATTTAGGAGTGTAAAAATAGAAGGAAGACAGATAGTCATCAGCACCCACCGCCAACTCTTGGGCTACTCTTTTACAAACGAATAGCGGGATTGACATTCACATTATAACGCCCCCACAGTTGAAAGGGCGAGCATGTTTGGTGGGACGGGGATTCGAACCCACTACCCTCAGATTGCGAGTCGAGCGTCCTAACCACCTGACCATGCCGGAGCAGAAATAAAACTAAACATCTAAGTGTTGTATTTCTAGAAACGAGAATTTTTGGTAAGTTTTCATAAACAGTAGAACCGCTTAATAAATAGTTTAAAATTATATTTAACAGTTAATCAGCCACATTATACACGCCGATTAGAAAACATTTTAGATCTTTTCCCTACGAAGCAAGTAATTCTTTTATCTTTTAACAAAAGATATTAGCCAGACTGATCGAAAAATACATTTGTTTACGATTTATAAAAGCATAACCTAAAAAGTGTCTGATTAATAAACGACTGTTTTAATTTTTGTGTAGACAACCGTCCTTGGTTTTAAATGTAGATTTTTATGGCTGAATGGCATAAAAATTCATTATCAATTCGTTGGAAAAAATAATAACTTGTTCAGCCATTACATATAAGACTCTCAAACATTTATAGGAAAAATATCCTTAATACATTTAGAAACTTGATCTCAGAAATACAAAAAAACGAACAAAAACGTTTAGCCCTGGATCTTGCTTATTAATGAGTTGAAAACGTGTGTTATGAAAAAGTTCTATGTTGTCCAATTAAGATTAAAATAAAAACATTGAATGGTGTTTTAACGTTGAATATAAATATAATTTTAGGTGAAAAGTTCTTTCAACATAAAAAATTAAGAAAAATCGATTAATTACTATAGAAGGAAAAAACAAAAGAACAAACGTGGTTTGAAATCCTCAACAAATCCTCAATGAGTGTCCAGTTGTAAAGCATTTTCCTCACAAACACTGTAGAATGGTTTCATTTTTTTTACTGAGAAAAATCATACGTATAACCTTTACCTCTGAAATTCTAATTCAGATTAATGAACTACCTTTAGCCGATCTGTTCAGTCTGTTGTTTATATAAACAGTAACTCGGAGTTGACCTTGTCATTTAGCATGGTCAAGTTGAAGGTCAATATTTTTTTTTTAAATTGCAAACTATTATGAGGGTTTTATTCTATTAGAAACAACAATCAT